TGTTTCCCAGTCCAAGGTCTATTTCGTGTTGCCCCAACTACATGCCGAATTAGGACATCCCGGGCAGATAAAAATGGATGAGGCCGTTGGAAAGTGATTCTGGTGGCCCGACCAGCGCAGAGTTGTGGTTAACCTCTGTATCGGTTATCAGGAAGGTCTTTGTGCGGAACTGCCTCAGAGGCCAAACCGCGCACCGCTCCAACCCATAATCACCGGGTACCCTAACCAAACAGTTGCGGTAGACATTATGGGACCCCTTCCGAAAACAGACTGTGGTAACCGCTACCTTCTAATCCTGGTCCACCATTTCAAGAAGTGGTGCGAGGCCAAGCCTATTCCCTACAACGGCGCAACAGTAGTGGCACATACGATCTTCGAGCAATGGGTCTAGCGTTGCGGCGCCCCGGATCCCTTGCATTCTGATTGAGGTTCGAATTTCTAGAGCACTATTGTTTCTGAGCAATGCCATCTTCTTGGTATCCATGAAAAGCGTACTACTACTTACCACCCGCAAGGAAACGGTGGAAGTAAACACGCACATCGGTCGTTAAAGGCTCTGCTAAAATCCTTCACGGACGACTGCAACACACGGGAGTGGGACCGCGCGCTACCACATTGTTTGTTAGCCTACGGTACCGCGTTCATTCTTCGACATCACACTCTCCACATTATGCGGTCACTAGGCGTGCGATGCTTCTGCCATTCGATTTGACTGTACCGCGACTAGCGCCAGATCCACTGCTAGCCACAGGGGATGCAATGCGGGTACTCAGCGACCTACGTCGTGCGAAGCAACTCGCAAGGAACTGCTTGTCCAATGCCCAACCTCACCAAAAAGACTACTACGATAGACGAGTTGAAGGCCTACCGTTACAACCTGGACAGTTAGTCTATTTGCATGCCCCGGTGCTTCCATCGGGAGTTCCGTTGAACCCGCACAAGAAATCAGCAGGGCCATTCAGCGTTGCGGAAGTGTATAACGATCATATCTGGCGTATCACGTGTAGCCCTCAAGACCTAAGGCGTTATTTGCGGCTCAATCTAACCGTTTAAAACCCGGCGACTGAGTACCAGCGACCCACGCGTCTCACATGAGAACTAACATTCAGTTCCAGACGCCACCGAGTACGTAGAGATAGGTGATACCACGACCCCCGAGCAGTCGACAGCAGGTGTTGAGGACAACAGCTAAATCTATTGGGGGTAGGGTAGCGGCATCGCACTCACTTTAACCTTAGCCTCTTTATTCTCACTTTTTCTCTTAATTTTCAGATGCATATTGTGAGACCTCATGCGCTAACCAAACCACAAACCGACAGTCGTAAATCATAAACTGTTTATCTTTTATCGCTTCCATTGTATATCCTATATTGAGCCTGTTTGACTGTGTTGTACGCCTTCACTTCCATGCTGCGAATACACGCTGCTCCTCGCCCACTGCGTTCTTCCGTCCAGGGCTCCCGCCCACCGTGGTTACTTGCGGCTTGCTTGACTAATCGCGTTGTTGTGCTTGTTGTCCTTCAGTTCGAGGATATATCTGGTCGCCCAGGACTATGGCACGCTACAGCGGTTGCACCTCAAGGCAACTGGTTGCTGAGTTCTCTACATCTCTGGGTTTTTCTAGGGTTATTTATTATGGCAGATGTTCATAATTAGGTCAGGAACTCCACAAGCTGGAAAATGTACTGTGATATGTTTAATTAGGAAGTCTTAAAAGTGGTGAAAAGTTTTATATATAACTGTACGCAGGTGGTTAAAAAACAAACGGAATGTAAAAACCGCTTAGGAAAGGCTAAGCTATATTTTCGTAAAATAAAATAAATGCTAGAATGTATGCTTAATGTTCCCAATTCTATGAGACTTCATGTATGGCATTTAGTTTGTAAGTACCAGTTGGTTTGTAGTGTAGGTTACCTGTGGAAGTGATAACCGTGTATTTAAAATGGTGACCAGACTCATTATAAATAGGTAGATACTGGACCGGGTATGTTTAAACATGTACACTTCTCTCAAGCGATATAGATATATGCATATATGTACATATACATTTATATATATGTGTTTGCCGGGCGGGAGAACCTATGGTGCGCTGAGGCTGGTGGTGGCTAGCTCCTGACAGATGGCCTACCCACTGTTGCTACTGTTGTGCCATTGGCTCATGACCTGGGCGCCTCGTGGCAACCGCTGGGTGGGAGTTGGGTTTCGGCATTCTCCCTGCTAAGATCCAGGGCACTAATCCGCATGAGTCAGTGAACTGACCATGTGCTAGACCCGCTGCCTTTCGGGTGTACATTTAATCGACGGCTTTGGCGGAGGACCCGAGTCGCTCTTCTGTCAGGTGTGGGCACCTTACCAGTATCCCAGTCCGTCCTCTTCGGAGGTTAGGAAGTGGTCGATGGCCCTCTTCCGTAAAACCTGGCCATGGGAGACAACAGGGCTACGGGTTATAATCTCACAGCTCGATTAGCGTAGAGCACGAGCGCCATGCATTGTCTCTGACGGTGTGAAGGCACCTGCGGGTGTTCAATGGTTAGCTACTGCCCACCTCAAGCCAGGCAGCCTCTAATCAAATTGGCGCAAACCCGCCAAAACCCACCTGCGTCTGGCCGTGGTCGCAGGTGCGTATCCAATTACGGTCGCAAAACATATATAAAACGTTCCAGAACCTCAAAGGCTGCTTGTGACTGCAGTCAAGCAGATCCCAAGCAGTCTCAGAAATCACATTCCGGAGCTGGATCTGCTCCCCACTGCCTTGTGGGTCAGGATATTGAGCCGAAGGCTCCGGGTTGAATCCCTCAAGCAAAACTCCGAAGCATGACGACCATCACATGTGCGGTTGTCCACCAATGCAGTCGTATGCCTGCCTGCAAAGCACTCAGCATCGGGTGCTGGAACGTGCGCACACTACTGGACCGGAACTCCAGCGAGCGCTCGGAGCGACGCCCTGCCCTGATCGCGAAGGAACTGGCGCGCTGCCACGTCGATATTGCGGCGCTCAGTGAAACTCGGCTCGCTGAGCAAGGTAAGTTGCATGAAGCAGGTGCCGGCTACACATTCTGCTAGGTGCGTAACGCCGCCTCAGCACCACGTGATCATGGGGTCGGATTTGCAATACCCGATCGCTTCCATGGCCAACTGGTGGGTGAACCAACAGGCATCAGTGCGCGAGTGATGACTGTTCGCCTACGACTCGGAAGGGGTAAGTTTGCCACTTTTATACGCACGTACGGTCCGACCAGGTGTTATCCTGATGACACGCGTGATCAATTCTACACTCAGCTATCCTCCGTGATACGGTCTGTGCGGAGGAGCAATCGACTATTTCTGCTGGGTGATTTCAACGCTCGTGTTGGGCGTGATGCATCGGCGTAGACAGATGTTATCGGTTCGCATGGTATTGGTTCGGCGAATGCGAACGGTGACAGGCTGCTCTCAGTGTGCGCCACTCACGACCTGACGATCACGACCACTCGGTTGACACTGAGTGCGAGTGATCTAGCAACTTGGACGCACCCACGGAGTGGTCACGCTCACCTGCTTGACTATGTCATCGCACGTCAGTGTATGCGCATGTGTACTATGTATCTAAAAGCTGAGTCATCATTTAAATCGGGTCTTCCGTTTTTCTAGTATTCATCAATGTCCCATTGCGTGGTACCGGTCGTTGCGAGGACGGCCAACGGCAGCGATAACCTTGACGGCTGAGGGCGGCGCATATGTACTTTGGCTTTGAAAGGGTGGTGAACATTGAAATCCGACCTTACCGGTGGCTATGTATTACTGACGCATCATATAGTGGTGCCAGTACGTGGGGGAAGGCCGATGGCATCTTTACCTGGGACGGCAGAGGGCGGCTCATGCCTGCCTGTGCTGTTAAAAAGTAGCCATCAATGCTAGCAGACTTTACCTGTGGCTCGTAGTCACTCATGCTTCATTAGGTAGTAACAGGAGGTGCAAGAATGGGCCGTTGTGGCGTTAACCAGGACGGCGGAGGACAGCGCACGTTACTTGGGCTCTGCTAGCGAAGTAATCATTGAACTTCAACCTCACCCGTAGCTAGGAGTCACTCACCCTGCATATGATAGTACCAGGAGGTGCGGGCATGGTAAGTTGCAGCTTTAACCAGGACGGCGGTGGGCAACGCAAGACAACTGGGGACGAGAACACAAGATAATCATGGAAACCGGACCTTACCAGCGACTCCGAATGATTGTCGTTTCCTATGGTAGTACCGGAAGATGGGAGAAAATCCAATAGTAGCAGTAACCGCGGATGGGTGCTGGCGTCGCATGTGTACTTATGCTGTTAAAACACGCCTGTGCGCAGGAAGGACGCGTGTGGTTAAGTGAAATCGGTAAATCGGAGCATTCAGATAAATACCTGCTCAGAGATCCTTTCACGTGCCGCGGAGGCTACGAAACTGCGTCATCAACCAGGACTTATGGAAAGTATACGGGGTATATATAAATACCGCTTGACATCATACGTATTCATTAGGCAGCAGATATACCTGCCCCACTTGCTCGGGGCTCGGCGAATCTTCCTCCCCTTCTGACACAAAGCAGAAAGCGATCTGTCCGCATCCGCCCCACCCGAAGCCCTCCTTGTACGCCGCGTAGTTGTGCGGTGCTGAGATAAAGTTCTAGTTTTCAGGGTACGGAATCTCAATCTTCGTGACATCGTGCTGGTACCCGGAACCTCAACCACACAGGGATCCAAGGTGACTGGCGTTGGTTACTCCTGCCGTCACTGTCAATCCGCTGCGAAACCCCAGCCCGTGCCTCCCCCAACGGGACCCCTTGGTTAACGTCGGTCTACGATGCATACCTCCCGGACGAAGAAAGGTTTCGAAATCCCACCGAAGCAGCAACATCGGAGGACGCCGCATCTAACCGTCGGAATATGGGCAGGTCCTCCCACAATAACCGTTGCAATTGTTCGACCTTGGATTATCGGGCGAACACTTCCACACTACTATGACCTGCCAGGAGTTCCCGAACTTATGCCATGACGCCCATACTGCGTAAGAACTCCTCCGTGCACATATTCAACAAAGGTACCTCCAAGTCACCGAACATATCACGAGCGATGCGCATTTTCCCAGTGCCGTCAATGACCCCATCACTATGGGATGGCATCTGCGTGTCCGTCACTGTGCCATCTGTGGCCTCCGACAGGTCCGCCGCTCCAACATTTCCTTTTCGCAGCACACAATCGCTACCAAGAAGAACAACGTCATAGTCGTATGCATGCAGGCTGGCAAAGTGCACCATATGCGCACATGGAATGCGCCACTGACGACCAAATCGACATCCGCATGCGCTACCGTTCTCTATGATAACAGGCTGCATGCCCAGGCGCTCGTCATCCACTAGACAATACCTGCCCTCCGGGTTCACACTGCGTATGCGAACTCTTATAGTTTGCCGCAGTTACTGCCGCCGGGCGTATGGCGACCTCCTCCTCAAAGTCGACTACCCACTGGTTACAAGCTGCTCAACCGCGCATATACCTGGCTTATCTATTGCAAGAAAGATTTCTTTCTTCTCTAAAATGCTGCTGCACCGCTGCACTATCACCTGAAACAAGTGCAGCAGAGTGGACCGCTCACTTAAAGTTGCCTTCAAAGGCTTATGCTCATTTTCAACGCGATTGGTGCCGTCGCACCCAAATAACACCACAAGGCCCAGAAAATGCGCCACGCATTTAAGTCGCCATGGGATCCACATGTGACGAAGGTACTGGAAGCATGCCGCGCTGCGCACCGATATGCCTTACGTAACCCGATGAGGATGCGCGCAATGGTGCGTATACTACAAGGATCGCAGCATGTTGCATAGAGCCCTATTATCCTACATGTTACAGAAGCGAAGGTTAGCACAACGCCGCTGCATGTCACGCTGGCAGAAAACTATGCTGGCAGTGGGATACGCATTGCGAGACACATTCACCTGCGCGGCGCATTTGTCCATAACCAGCGTTCGAGCGCAGTCAACCCCGGGGGACAACTCCAGCATAGTTCTCACCGCCTCCTGGTAGGTACCCTAAGCTTTATTGGGCAACGGCGCATAAAAGAATTGCATACCAATGCCGCTGACGTCCGCAAACATACAATGCCACAGGATATAAACGCGGTAATGGTTCTGATATGTGGAGTCCGCCAAAATTACCCCGCAGTATTGGCCCACCAATTCCAGCATGCGCGAGAGGAGGAAAAAGGGGCACCGATTCTCATTTCCCTCAGGCATTATTTTCACTTGACCATTTCTTCGCAATAGCCGCGTAACCTCCTCCACCTCCGTTACACAAGCTTTACGATGACTCTGTCGTATCTCATACAAATCGGTCCCCGTTAAACGAATGTCATATGGAAGACGCACAGATACACGCATCTCCTGCGTCTGAGGGAACGTCTTCATCAGGTGCGCCACCAAGCTTTCCCGTTCCGCTGTTAGCCGCCAACATTTTGGCATACAATCAAGGCTTCTCCACGTGAAAATTGTGCAAATGACGAAGACAGGCGCATCCAAACTTGTGCCACTCCCGCTTCAAAACAGCTGGGAACCCAGCAGGACAATTGTAACACCGGTAAATGTTCACAAATTATCAGGCTGATACACAACACTTATCGCTTTCCAGCAACCTTCGATCGCTTGCCACCCTGGCACAGGAACTGAATATATCGGCACCGGCATCCTTCCGGTAGCACCTGTCCTGGCTACCTTTGGCAAGCTTTCACAGTTATAAAGCTACGACGAATAAACGATGTGGCCGTTGTCATCAAAAAACGTTTTAGATCCTCAAGGATCGCTGAAAAGTCCAGCTATGGACACTTGAAGATCCGTTGTAATGCGCTAGAGTCATCCACCATGGCTGTTGTCACTAGAAGCGGGAAAATGCTTAACCACTGTGACGCCTTTAGAAGGTTCCGTTAGCGCTTTATACTTTACCGCTTAGCATATTAGCGACTTTCACTTAATAATAAACATACTCATGCTTCCGAAAGCTTAATATTTTCCTTCCTCAACTAATAACCTTGTGAACCACAAGCAGTCTGGTTGGCGGAAATGAACTACACCATGTTTTCCAATTGGTAGACCTAGGGGTCACGTTGTCTTCAGAACTTAAATCCAGTGAGAACTGGAGGAAAACTAAGTGTAAGGGTTTAAGAAAGTTGTGGATGATCCGCAGGGCATTCGGGACCAGCACGGGCGCTATGTTTGTTAGGTTATTCTCAGCACTTGTTAGGTCACACTTGGAATACTGCATCCAGGCTTGTCCACCTTGCTTAGTCAGGGACAGGATGTCAGTGGAGAGGGTGTTGAGAGTTAGAACCAAACTGGTCCATGGACTACGGAACCATTCTTACCCAGAAAGACTACTTGCGCTGGGAAAGTTCTCGACGCATTGTCGTCACCATCGAGGCTACCTAGTCTTGACCTATCACATACGTGCCAGTAACATCGGACACGATTTATCTGGGCTTTTGCAACCGGATCGGCTTCCAGCACTCCAAGCTCACTCGAGGAAACTACACAAACCTCGATCGCTTGGAGTAGGGCGGCCTTTCGCTTATCACGTCGAGTGGTGGATTCCTGGAATGCACTGCCCGAGAACGTGGTATTGGCACCAGTAGTGGAAGGGTTCAAACACAAACTCCACGCCCTTGGCCGTCAACTTTTAACATTCCCCTTCACGTCCTAGCTTTTTCTTCTTATTGAATTATTAGACCAATTACGTTTTTTCTTTACGCTCCTATTACTTTTGTACTTTTCTTTCTTATTTGCATGACCGGTGCGGCGGGGACTGCCAGCGCAGGTCGTGTGGGTATTAGTTGGTTGACCGTGGTTTGATTCGCGCGCTGATCTGATTCTTCTGGATTCCAGGTTTCGCGGACGAAATATACACTGGATCAACGACGCGCCACGGAAGGAACATTGACGGGGATTTATCCTACTGTTTCCGTCACACTTGAACTTGAACTTGCGTACTGAGAATAGTGACGCCCTTTCAAACTTCTCGGATTTTGTGTGGGATTTGCTTTCGATTTAGCGAGTGGGAAGAGCTATCCGGATTGTTAGCTTTGACGTCAGAATGCCTGCGTTGCAGTAAACGTGTGACCTCGCGTTCTAAGGCAGTATAGTGCTTTGCGTGTGACGGATGGCTGCATATTGCCTGCTGCGGCATTTGTCCTGAACTCTATGAGTCTGCAATGATATACTGCATCGACTGTCTGTTTCCTGTAGCCGCTGCCATATTTCATTAAACAGTCGTGGCCTTCACGCCGGACTGCCAGTCCTGAGCCCTTATTCTACTTCAACGAATTTTGAAGCTTTTACTGCATTGGGCTCTCTTGTTTCATCACCTTTTCCGTCCACACCTAATTCCGGCACAGCTAACCCTACGGGTAAACAAAGCCGCGTGCCATCTGCTACCTATTCAAAACCTTTGACACAAGCCTTGCCCAGTGATCCCACGACGGAGACATACGCTGCCGTGGTGAGGAAAACTCCCACTGTCCCAATAGGTCGGATTCACACTAAATGTAATGTTCAGGCGACTTCTAAGTCCCAACCCAAGAAAACTGTTCCCAAGACCCAAATGAAATCTGTTCGCTACAAGGTCAACGAGCTGGAAAAGTTGATAAAGGACAGTGCGTCACCAAAGCCGCGGATCTCTGGCCCCGCTCTACCACCCTCCCTTGAATGATGTCGTACCACTTTTATCTTTGACCAGTCCGCTCCTACTGACTCCACTTACCTTCCCAAATGAACCATAGGACTCAATCACAATGCGCCGACCGAGTCCAACCTTGGCAGATCGGTCCTCTTCTCTCCTAATTCTGCGACGCTGCCTGCCATGCTCGGAAGCCTGAATGCTCTGTCACCATTACCTCTAGAGCCTCGTTAACTGTCGCATTTCATATCCGTAAACGTAAACACTTAACTCTGTCCTCTCCTTATCGCGGCCTGTCTTTATTTCTTCTTCATCCGCATAGCGAGCTCTCAGAGCCCTGCCCTATTATCCTCTTTGACTGCTTCCTAACTAGCGAAATGTAATTTTAGGCTCTGTATCACCATCACACAACTTCTCTCACTTTGCGAGCCTGCCTGACTTGCATACCTTATATTCATGTAGCCTTTTGCATCCCAACCCATCCGTCTCTGCTGACACTTTATTTACCTTCCCACCTCAACTGTACTACTTACTCTAAGTGTGCCGACTAATCCAGTCTCGTCTGATCGGTCCCCTGCTCTCCGAATTCATTCAGACTGCTGTGACGTTTCCGGCATTGAATGAGAAGTGCGAACGCTCTGTCCCCATTAACTCTCGAGCCCCATGGACTTTTCCACACCTTATAAGTAAACCTCTCCCTATCCGGACCGTCTCCTTATAACGTTCTCTATTTTCAAACCTTCTCTAATTGGACTGCCAACTCTCAGTGCCCTGTAATAACCTAGTCTCATCTGACCGGTCTGCTTCTTTGACCCTTTCCAGACCAGCAACATTTAAACGGTCTAGACTCTGTAGACTCAAGCTTTATCGCACTTACGTTGACAGCCTGCTAGACTTGTTCACCCTCTATTTATATAGTCACCTCCACCTCTCGACCCACTCCATTTGCCCTCCTAAAATTAGCTGTTGGACTCAATGTCGTTTCGTCGACTAATCCTGTCTCGTCTGTTTGGTCTCCTGCTTTCCAACTCCTCTCAGACTCCTGTAACATAACTAGCCATCGTTCAGATGATTGAGCGCCGTTCGTATCCAATCATTCTTCTGTTGGAAGATTGAGTCTCTGTCATCCGTAGCTCAGCCTCAGCTGATCAGCCAAATTCTATGGGACTGCTACCAGGCTACCGGGATGTTAACGGTCTGGGCTCCGTCGATCCAAAGCACTTTCTCCCTCACCTTGATATCCTGCTGAACTTGTTCGCCCTATGTTGATATAACCACTTCTATCTCTGACCAGTCCAATCCTACTGACTCCACTTACCTTCCCAAATGAACCGTGGGACTCAATCACAATGCGCCGACCAAGTCCAACCTCGGCAGCTCAGTCTTCTTTGCTCCTACTTCTGCGACGCTGCCTGCTATGCTCGGGAGACTGAACGCTCCGTCCCCATTACCTCTCGAGCCCCGTGGACTTTTCCACACCTTATTAGTAAACCTCTCTCTATCCTTATGGCCCCTGTACTATCATTTCTTCTCTAATCGGACTGCCAACTCTTAGTGGCTTGTAATAACCTAGTCTTATCTGACCGGTATGCTCCTTGGACCTTTTCCAGACTAGCAAGATATACCGATCTAATCTCTCTAGACTCACAACTATGTCTGGCTTATATTGACAGCC